TCGTGTTGGGTAGACGCCATTTTGAGTGTTCAAAAACATGCGCCCCATGAGTCACCGTTTGAAATTTGCCCGATCTCGACGACCGTTGGCAATTTATGCCACGTCAGCATCGAATTTGCCCGGTTTTAAGGTTGGGTGGTGGTTTAAGCTCAGCGAAGCTCTTTGAATAGGCAATTGGACCCTAATGAGTAGCTTGGCCTTGCTGCAAATAACGGCGGTCAACGGCCGTTCGTGCTCCCATGATCAAGTCAATTGATTGGATTATACATAGGACAAGAAGCCCCACAGGCTCGATGGTCTTCTTTCACGCGCGTACGCCGTATAGTCAAATAGGCCATAGGCCATATACGGTTCGTTTTCTCGTTTACCCGTATATGGCCAGAGCTGAACCTGACATGTGGGGCGCGGGCCCCCGCCGGATATGGTGACCGCCGGGGCCACCCAGGTCTTCAATTTTACGTTGGACAGTTATTCAAAAATATTTGTGACGTTCGGCACATGCGGGTCCTGCGAGGAGGGTCGCAAACCTTAGGCTTGCATGCCCTCTCTAGATGGTCTCTTTTCAAATACGCTGTAATCGAGGAGACCAAATCCAAGGCCAGATCTCTGCAGTGCTGGTTCGTTTGCCTGCCTTGCCCCGGGTCCCGGACTCCCGGAAACTGCACATGCATGCCGACACAGTCACTGCGCAAAGCACCGGCGTGATTAATGGACCCAATCCACGGTTTGACGAAGAGCCCGCGCTACATCTACGGTCTGCATTTTTACCTTAGATGTGTGCGCGCGTGCGGGTCTGTTGTTCATGCGGCGCGGCCATCTCTGCGCGACTCGGAGGTCCCGAGGAGCCGATATCGGAGTATCCTACTAAGCAGAGCGGGCTGCGGGACAATCCTAAGATTGCAGCCTGTAAGATTCTTAGCTCAGCTAGAATCCCAGGATCTACCATACCTAGACCATTACCTACCTACTCCAGTGACTTGAGTGTCAACTGTGCCAGCTTGCATTACCAAGAAGGTACGTAAAACGTAACCCTTCATAGCCAATATGTCGTCCGGAGGCCGAGGCCGAGGGCCCTACCTTCCACTTGTTGGACGCCTCTGCAGAGGGCACATGGCAAGTCAATGATTGTGAATGCTACAGCCCAACCGTTAACGGTTTGAACTTGGTTTCACCCCCGTTTAACCATATCAAGTTGCTTCAGTGCAGCTAAGACCTATAGTAGGGTACGAGTTTGTCTCCAGGGCAGGGGGTCAATTGCACTCAACTCAATTTGTACCAATGCCTCTGACGATGAGTCAGGCAACCATATTCGGGGATCCCTTTGAACACGTTGACGTCATTCTGACATCCCTACGCGTGCGAGAACTCCTGCCTATGATTGGCCAGAGTACAAGGAATGCCATGTGGCATGCAATGCAAGCTCAGCCAGGAGGCTACAAGAATGATAAGTCCTTACAGCAGGTGTGGCTCGTCGCTTTAGAATCTTCAGCCCCTGCGGTCAGAGCCAGCGAGGCGCGAAAAGTGCTGTTTGCACGTGTTAGTCACCACGTGAAGATTTTGTTTGCTGAAACTGTCCAGCTAGCGGCCGCCAAACTACTAGTACAGTTACCTACCTAAGCCATGATTTGACAACCGTCATGACGATACTCTGATTGCAGTTCCCACAAGAGCTAGGCTGTTTTCCTGCACCAATGCATCCAGAGTCACAGAGTTGTGCTCAGGTACTACTGCTTGGCAATGAAAGTGCTTCTCAAAGCCTGACTTGTTCAATGTCCATGGTTGCTTCTCTTCATCGTCTTTGTAGCTGCTTGATTAGAGAAGAGATGTGCTCTCTAGCTCAATGAACTCCCGTCAGCGGAAAGAACATCAGATACGCAGGAAGCTAGGAAAACAGAAGTGCTTGCCGGATAACAACGCCCTGTCAGCGGAGCGAAGGACTGTCCCCAATCTGTGCTGGTGGAGTATGAAACATAGAATTTGGCTGGCGCCGCCAAAGCAGTTCTGTGAGGACAAAGGAGAATCGAAGAGAAAACACGCTTGTGAGGAGAAGACTACAACTGGCAGTTGACTGGAGAGCTGGGGCCCTTCCCCCTGATTAAGATGGCGGCTTTGATAGAGCGCCTCAGGAAGGCGTCCCCATGGTTTTCTTCACAGGAACAAGCTGGCGAGTTGCATGAAGCGGGCCTGCCAGTGTGTTCTATTACTGGTAGAAAATCAAGCATAGATAGTCGATCAGACGGGGAAGCACAAGACAAGAAGGAGAGGATCCGCAAGCAATACCACATTCTCTATCTCCGACTAGCGACTATGGTGAGCACATAAAGGGCTTCCAACTAAGTGATGATCAACAGCCGCTTGGATAAACGTACAGCATTATTTATCTGAAGTGATTTTTGTCAAAGATTTGGTAGCTCTCGTTATGAAAACATTCCTCTAATCTGAGGCAGACTTCTACTCGGGTCTGGTCCGTTGAAGCAGCGGCGCATTTTGAAAAATTTAGGCACAGTGAAGAATGTATGTGGCATGCATACAACTGATCTTTCTCCTTGCTAGATGTATGTTTAAGCAATGGTGCAGGCTGTAACGATTACGACTGGTTAAGCCTAACCTCGTTCTCGACAGGATTTC